TCAATACTGCAGGAACAATCAGCTCCCCCTCGATCAAAGGAAAGCACACACAAGCACATGAAAGAAGCAGCAAAAGCCTTCAGATATCAAGTGCAAAAGCAAAATTGATGTCCCAGAATTTAGGGCAAAACAGTTTGATCTGACATTTGGCAAACGAAGATGACACACACAAATAATACATTAAATGAAAAGAAGCACAATACTTCACAAAACTTCAGATCACAGAGGGCACAGATATTAAATAATTATGGGAAAGTGTAACTACTGTGGATAATGCATTTAAGAGCTACAAGAAGGAAATTACAATAACTAAGAATGTGACCAACAAGCATTTGAATATATCAGTTCATTACAACTGCAAAAAGCCTGAAATGTACATGCATTATATATGTGCATACACAGAGGACAACTCAAAGCCAGAAGTAATTCCACATGAAAGATTTGGATTACTATTTAACTACAACAAGAAGTATTTTACTAAGATTCTTACAACATTCAGATCCACAGAGAGTGCTAGGGTTTTAGGATCTTGACACAAATGAAGAAAAACAACAGTGTACTACTGGAATGACAAAGTCTGTCAGATGCATTAGTCTTTTAAACCACATAACAATAATCTTGAGGGTTTTTAAATGGTTAGATGGATTTTCACTTTGTGAGACCCACTTATCTTTGCACAGTGACACAGCATCATCATTAATCATTGTGGAGATAAGACACAGTGAAAGGTATTTCTAAATATCCTATCTAAAGCCAGCCCAGGCTAATGTGACTACCCAAGTCACTTTTTTCACTGATTAAGCTGCTTGAACACATTGGGAAAACTAATACATACCATGTTCCTACATGCACTAATTCCAGGCACAGAAAATACACCAGCAATATATCAAATTGTCATGAAAACACCAAACATGAGTCAATTACAGCAAAATAACTCAGAAATTATGTAAAGTGACCTAAAACAGGCAGATTAAAATTAACCCAGTTACAGTACTGAACTTTGCTTTTGATTACCTCAAGAATCTTGGCTGAGCATTACTATTTCTTCCAGTATTTAAGCTTATTATCCAGATTTTCCCTCTCAACCAGTAGATGTCCACAAGAAAGTTAAATCTGAGTGTGTAATGCAAGTAACTAAATGCAGTTAGCATTCCCAAAATTTGTGTTAGCTTCCTGATCAGCTTCATCTTACAAATAACTGGACCTGTACAGTCCAGTTATTTATAAAAACTCCATAAAACAGTATCTTAAACAAAAAAGCATTATATAAATTGATTTAGAATCTAAACTGAGGATTACTGCTTCTAGGATCTGCTCAACAGCTGGAGTCAGTTCACAAAGGGCTGGAAGCTGCAATGCCCTATCAGAGAGCTGGTGCAAAAACCTGATTTCACAAGGAGTGGTCAAGATAAGTAAAAGAGAAAAGCCAAACAAGCTACTCAATAATCCTGACACTGGGACCTTCTTGCAAGGATGAAACACACAAGAAGGAAATAAGATGTTTTTTACAATCATCTAAGCAGTCCAGAACTGAACAGAATTTAAAGCCTTGCTTTATTCTGTAGCCTTAGAAAGCATTTATAAGTAAATGCCAGACATAACATTTTTACAAATTTCACCTGTCAGTTTTGGTCCATATACACTGAGTGACTGATAACCAAAAAAGTTATAATTGCATTTTATTTACTCATGATATTTAAAAAGCTTTATTACATAAATCTTCATACAGTATCATCACACAGGATACATAGTTTCATTAACATTAAATACATACATGCTTCTTCAATTAGCACATCTAGAAATAATTACCTAATGTTCAATCAAGCATTCCTGATGCATTTCCACTGCTATGGATGCACCAGCCACCAAAGCAAATGGAGCTATGTGACACTGTACAAAGCTGTCCTACAAACACTAAAGCTTTCTTTACTTCCCTGACCTGTGCATTTCAAGTGATACACTTTCCTTTTACTGCTGCAGCCACAGAATGCAAAGGCAAGACATTTTTCTTCCCTGCTGTCTAGCGAACTTTACTGGGAAGAGGTTTGACTTTGCTTTTTTAAGGACAAAGCCAATACTTTAAATACCAAAACAGTAACCTTGAGAGTGTATTAAACTGCCCTGAACTAAAGCCAATACTTGCAAATGGTAAGATCACATGAAAAGCAGCACATGAATTAACCTTGGGGATAAACAACCTTGAGTGTCCACATATGAGATACAACAGTACAGTACAAAAAGAAGAATGTAAGTACATGTTGGTTAAATCACTTTGGCCTATGAGAAATCACTTGGAAAAGCAATGAGATCAAGAAGAAAAACCCACACAGTATTTTAAAAGGAATCCACACATTAATTCCTTTCACACAAACTAGTATTGTGATATACAGTCTAGGATAGCACATCATTTTTTCTCTTAAATTCTTTTAGGCATGGTCATGTTTTCTATAAGGAAAAAAAACCCAAACAACCAACAAACACACCTTACTATGAAAATCAAAGTGCCCAGTATTTCAACCTCCTAGTGCATGCCTTAAGCAAATCTCACCAGGCAGTAAAAGGGAAGACAAGAGATTCAATACTGAGCCACTTGTCCTTCAAATGCTCTTTAGTCATTACCTTTACTATAGACAGCAGCAGCAATATTGCCCACATTTTGGTCACCTAACACTCTCCCTGACAAAAAGATTCCTACAGTGTCATCTCATGCTATTGTTTGCCTCATGCCTTTGATTTTTGGCAAAGGGATATAATTGAGCTCTGCAATTATTATTTTTTTTGTGCCACAGAATTTTGCTCCTTGCTTGCAGAATTAGAAACAATTTAACAATATTCTCTCCTCTAGCAGTCAAGAGATGCAAAAAAAAAAAATCCATTATTGCAGGCTTGTTTGTTACAGCTTGGTCTGGGCAGACAGTGTGAAGTGCCTTGCTTGCACTGCCATCCTAGCAATTCCCCCAGCACTGGAGGATCCTACAGATCAAAGCTCAGATGCTGCCAGAGAACTACAGTTTGGGAAGGGGAACAGTGGCTACAGTCACTGCCTGGTGTTGGCAGCACCCTTTTGGGAACAACATTGTGGGAAAGAGCATTTTACTCTGGAACAGAGAGGTCAGAGTCTTCCTATCCCTAGGACCAAGGCAAGGACTCCAGGACCAAGACATACATACAAACATGAATTAAGAGAGCATCATGTCCACATCCACATTAATGATGCACTTTAGTAGCTGTTGTGCTTGTTACAAAATTGGCAAGTCCCACAAAAAAGTGCCTCATTCTCTGCTGCAGGAGATCAAATGCCATCCATAGTGCTGTCTGTAACACACCCCACACATACACAATCTTTACACCACATCACGTATTATCTTCTAGCCGACAACTCAAATAACAAACTTGGCCAAGACCACTCTATATATACTGCCTTCCTTGGGTATTAGTGCCCAAATACCAATGCTTGACCACAAGTAATGACATCTGTCTGTGCCGGCCCATGCCCTACAACACATGACCCATTTGATACCATCTTTAATTAGAGTACATGCTACCTTTTCTATGGAATCCCAATCTCATACAGGGTGAAAAATACATTATGTACTTGTCAATATAAAGAGTGAAGGTTTTTTGCAACATTTGCCTCTGAAGTTAGAATGTATTAAAAAAAAAAAACCACAAAAAGAAAAATGTCTGGGAAGAATGCATGTGAATATTGGGAAGAATTCCCTATGCTTTAGACAAGAGGTGTGAAGAAACCTCACAAATATGAATTCTGAGCATTAATTTCCTCCTGCCTTCCATGTGAAATACTAAGAAATGGAGACCCAAGCCCTAGGAGTGCATGACTGCTCAACAGCAACAGCCTTACAGCAAACTGCTCAGCATGTGGAGAAGGGTGAGGAGCAGCAAACACAGGTGTTCCCAACTCCTTCCTTAGCTCCTCACGCTGTGTTACCTCAGAGAAGTTAAAGTGTCAGATTCCCTCTCCATAAATTTGAAGAGTAATCCCTCTTTATCTCCCAAAGCAATTGCAAAGCTACTTTTAGTCACTACAGTAGCTTAGAACAAACGGGGAAATTAATTCCCTCTTATGCACCAGGTTTAGATGGTTAACCATCCACAAAGCAGAGGCTCCATACCAGATAATTAAGGTAAAAGTGTAATGAGCACCTGCATAACACCTTAATCACCACTCATCTCACACGGAGCCCAGGGAAGTCAGTCGTGCGAAGCAGGAGCAGCCAGACCCACCCCAACACCTACGCGGGAAGCCAAGAGCCAAGGTCACGACCACCAGCCTTGGCTCCAGCATCTCACGGCGCTGGGGAATTGATCCCATGCCAGGTGCTGCTCCCACATACAGCACAGCAACCTCCACCACATCTCACACACCCTTTTCATCCTCGGAAATGAAAACTTCTGTTCGCCGAGCAGCGAGGAGAGACCTTACCCAGGAGCAGTGCCTATATAAGGGCTCTGCGTGCGGTGCTCACGCCCGATACCCGCTCAACCAGTTTGTGCCCGGGCTGGGCAGCACCGGCACAGGCAGGCCCAGGCACCGCCGAGCAGGAGCTTTACAAATCGCTGCTCTGCACTTCGGGGCACAGCCCGCCCGCCCGCCCCGGCAGCACCGCCGGCGGCCGGGGAAATCGCGGCGGCACAAAAGCCACCTCATGGCAAACACCTCCCGCCCCACAAAGGGCAAGGACGGGGATCGCCGGGAGTCGCGGGCGGGACCCGCTCCGCGTGCCCTCGGGAGCGGCCGCCCAGCGCCGGCACCGCCGCGGCTCTCGCCGACAGCGGCCGCCCCATCCCTCTGAGATGGCGGCCGGACCCGGCAGCACCTGCCGGGGAGCGACCCCCGCCTGCCCCTGCCCAGGGCTCGGGCAGCGCCGGCGCCGGGCGGCGAGAGACGGGACGGGACAGCGCCGGGAGAAGCCGCGGGATGCGGGCAGAGGAGCCGCCGGTCCCCCGGCACGTCGTGCGGCCGCGGCTCCATCCCTTACCTGTGGCCCGCGGGTGGCTCCGCGCAGCCCCCGGCTCCGCCATCTTCCCCGCCGGTGCCGCCACCGCGTCCCGCCGGGGCCGGCTGGGCTGGCTGCGCCCGCGGCCGCCGCACAGGCGCAGTGCCCGCCCCGGCACCTGACGGCGCGGCGGAGGGAGGGGAGCGAGGGCGGGCCGCGGCCGGGCCCTCACGGCGGGGCGGGCCCGCTGCCCAGGTGGGGCCGCGCCCCGCCCTCAGCGCTCCGGCTGCGGGGCTGCGCTCGGGCTGGGGCTGCTGAGCGGCGCTGCGGTGCCCGGGCGCGTTCACTCGGGTTATCCCCCAGAGCAGAACAACCAGCGCTCTCCGGCTTTCCGGGCCGATCCGGCCGTTTCCCCAGATTTTTCCATCCAGGTGTTTGCGCCCGCTGTTTGCAGCCTCGTGCGGCCTCGGGTGAATCGATGGTACCGGGGAAAGGCACAGCCGTGTCCTCCCCATCCGGCTGCGGTCCCGGTTCCCTTCGGGCCAGGCTGGCCCTGCAGCGGCAGGACCACTTAGTACTCGGTGTTAGAAGGGGAGAAATTAACATAATCTTTGTTTCTCCTCATCACTCACATACTAGCGGTTTAACTCCCCAAAATTTTAACACACACCTTGTGTGCTTCCTTTGCTCCCCCATTACTGGTTTCGTGTTTCCGGACCGTGTTGGGACACAGCAGTGCCAGGGGAGGGCACACAGCCCCAGGGCTTGCGGCGTTGGGGCAGCTCCTGCCCAAAACGTTGCCAGAATTGAGGTTATATGCCAAACCCCTTATTGACCCATCTTCACTGCCAATTTACCAAAATTTAAATGTAAGATAAATTTAACCCTTCCACTTTTTATTCTTACTCCTTTTGTTTTCTTCTTTTTGCCAAGCAATTATGTTACCTTTATATTCTTCACCTGAAAGTACAGACCATAGTCAATATGAGAGGAAGAAGTAGGACAGCATTTACTTTGGTTTTCCTGGTGTGTCTCCTATTTCCTATGAGGCAATTTTTCTGTTGGGGTGGTGGGCAGCAATTCTTCCATCTAGACATTGAAGTGATGTTGTCATGTGTGGGTTCACACACCTCAATAAAAGTTTAGCCACAAAGATTTAGGGTTTCTGGTGTATATAGTAATAATTATTCCTAATGTTGCTTTATCAATGAAATATGTAATTTTCATTGCTTATAACTCGGCCACATTTTGAAAGTGCCAAATGATGTTTTCATTTCAGCTGTTTCTCCCTCTAACCCTACATCAAGGGGCTCCACTTATTATTCTACCTGTCTAAAGATTAAATTGCACAGTTTTGGTCACATTACAGAAGAAAAACCCATCTCTCTTACTGTAGCTGTTCTTCCTAATTTCCAGGGGCTCCTTTGGCAACAAAACCAAAAGAAGGAAGAATCTCCTGTGACAGTAATTAATCTTCAGCCTGTTGGTTTCTGATGAACACATGGGAAAGAACAGCTGGTCTCAGTACAAGATATATGGGCTTAGTGATGAGGAAAAGGAAACACAGAGGATGAATTTCCAGGACTGGGAAACAGGACAGCAGAGAATGGATGTGAGGGATGAAAAGATGGAAGATTATGGCCAGAAACTGGAGAAAGGGGTATGAGGGAGGGAGGAAGGATATTCAGGCAGTGGCTGAAAGGAGATGGGGGCACTGGAGAATCTGCCCCGAGGAACAGGAGCCCACCAGTGCTGGCTCTCAGGTGGTCATGAAGCCATAAGCACAGCGTGTCACATGGAGAAAGTGTTCTCCTACAACTCTAATTTCCTCTGATAGTTGGTTCACAGCATTCAGACTTGCAGTCATGCCATGGAAAAAATATAAAAAGGAGATTTTAAAGAAAACTTAAGGGACTATACAGAAAATGTGAGACCTCCAAAGACAAAGCCCTCCCCTACAGTATTGTATGTTGTTTGTGATATGAATCACTTTTTAAATTACCTCTGCAGAGTGGTTTTTTCCACAAGACTCCTGCCTCATTCAATGCAAGGATGTCTTTAATTAATGTATAGTTCTTCAATGTTTCTCTTCATTTTCATCATGTAAAGTGGAATCTTTCATGTCATATTCTCTGTACATTCTTCAAACCCTGCCTTGAAGGCAGGTTAATTAATTTCCATGATGACTTTCCTGTGGTAGTCTTATAACTCCTTCAAAACATTCATAAATTTAACTTTGTAGCAGCCTTCTTAGTAGTACTATTATCATATTTTGCACACAGGGAAGAGCTAACGGAAGGTAATGTGTCTGGAGTTGTCTGTAGTGTTTTTTTTTATTCTTTTATGTTGTGGAGGCTGGCAGGTGGTTTTAAAGCAGGGAACAGTGGATTTAATACAGTGTGCATCCACCAGCACCTCAGAAACAAGAGCATAACTGTTCTTGCTCAGGTTTGACTTTAAACACTTTATAGATTTTTAAGCACTAGATGTAGTGGGTTACTTAGGGTAATCTACAAAGCTTTGGTATGCGCTTATACCTGGAGTCAGGAGCTAATTTCAGCATGTCTTTGTATCCTTCTTTATGACAAATAGAAGAACTCTGGGAAATTTTTTAATTTTCAACCTTCAAAAAGGAATTTATGAACAGTTTAATTTTGCCCATAGTTTACAGAACAAGATTATTTTCTTGACTATAGAAGCAAAAGGGGCCTTCCCAGCTGTGGTGGGACTACAGCCAGCATTTGCATGCTTAGAACTGGGGATGTCACCGTGTTCCTCCCTAACTGCACAGCCCACCTTCCTTAGATGCCCCTTCCTATCAGCAGAGGGAAAGGATCCTAGAGGTTGCACATCACCAGGAGCAGTGGGAGGGTCAACTTCTGAGTGATAGGGGCAGGGTTACACAACTCTTACACAGTCCTATAGTCTTTGTTTGCTGAGGGATGAGATTGGAAAATTTCTCCTCATCTCCTGGGCCAGGAGTGTGAGTTATCACAGCACTGCCTGAAAGGGCAATGAGACAGCAGGGAGAAGGTGTGTCCTTGCTGGGCATTACCAGTCTCTGATCAGCAGCTCTCTGGCAGAAGTTACAAAGCAGTGCAGGAATTTTCCCAGCACAGAACTTCATGTCTGCAAGGCACATCACATTGAGCACTCCATTTGGGAAAGTGTTTATTGCAGATACTTTGGTTATTCTGCTTTCTTCATCTGAAGCCCAGTTTGTCCTGCTTTGAATGAAGCTCTGGTAACACTTGTTCTAGATTGTTGTACTTTGAAGCACTGTTCTTTCATTTAAGGTGTGTTGTGCACTGCTAAAATCAACACCACTTTGGATTTCTTTTGTGGAAAAATTTTTCTTCTTTTCCCACACATTTTGAGGAGATTCTTTATTTAAAAAGATCTGTGCAAATGAGCTACCATAGGTGATGGTCAGCCTGTGAAAGCCTGTGAAAATCTCAGAGGTAAATCTGCAGAGAAGTAAATTCTTACAGTCAGCTCAGGATGCAGACAGAAAAAAAGCTGGAGAGAGTGATAATTTTGCCACCTTAACAGACATTCAGATAAAAACTGTCTAAAGTGTAAACTAAATTTTAGAATCTTGGCTTCTTTTCTCAGTGTTTTTGAGACAGTGGTATCTATGCAACCAAAGCCATCCCACCCTAGGAATGCTTCAGAAGGAAAACAGAACAGTCAGTCCTGAGCAAACTAGCCAAATTTACAGTGTTACAAATCTATGTTGGTCCACAGTTTTTGAATCAATAGCCAAGAATTTGAGTGCCCAAAAAAAAGTAAGGCAAGTAGAATGGCTCCCTGGGGTATTTCACTTGGAGCAACTAGCCCAGTGTCATGCAAACACTGCTTGTCAGAGATGGTAAACCCATTTCTCCCAGGCACTATTTGTCTGCTTTAATTTCAAAATCATCCTTCCTTTGCTGAAACTTGGAAGTCCAGTGCCTCACAACCTCTGGATGAAATTCAGTGCTCAGACCTAAGTATTTTTACAAGCAGTGCAAAGCCATCTGAAGAGAAGTGCTCCTCTTCATCAGGTGTTCTCTGAGATAAACAGAACATGAGTCAGAAGTTAGACAGAGTGTTTCAGCACATGCATCAGAAACTGAAGAAAGGTGGTGGGTATAACTAAATAGAGTTGTTCCTGATTGTTGAAATATTAACCCAGCATCTTAAGCATTCCCCTAAAATAGATTACAAGGTCAAGGTCACATAGGGGTAAGACAAGGAGGAATGGCTTTAAACTGAAAGAGGGCAAGTTTAGATCAGATATTAGGAAGAAATTGTTTCTGGTGAGGGTGGTGAGGTACATGGACTCTGCCCAGAGGAGTTGTGGATGCCCTGTCCCTGGAAATGCTCAAGGCCAAGTTGGATGGAGATTTGAGCAGCCCAGTCTAGTGGAACGTGCCCCTGCTTACCACAGGAGGGTTGGACTAGATGAGCTCTAAAAGGTCTCTTCCAACTCAAACTATTCCTTGGTTCTATGAAAGGACAGAAACACTCATGGAGTAATTGACTGATAAGAAATCTTCCTCATGAGAGATCAATCTTACATAAAAATATCATGGGCACTGAGTCAATAAACTATTGAGGACCATTGTGATAACAGAGAAAATCTTTTTTTCCAGTAGCTTGAAATCTTTCTAAGGAATGTTGGTAGATAGCAGTCTTGAAGGTAGATACCAACAGCAAAATGGTGCTCTGTTTCAAAACTACAGTTTTGAAGTCAGAACTCACAGTTGTATTTCTGAAGGACTTCTACCTTTTAGTCAAAAATATTTTAATAAAAAATAGTTGAATTTGCCCAGGTGAAATGGCTTCAATTTCTGCTTATCTCTCACTGTTTAAGAAGTCACAGGCACTCACAGGCATTGTCTCCTGACTGAAGAGCAGGAACAATGTGCAACTCAGTCTGGAAAAACTTGAACTACATCTGTCTGCTTTATTTTTGTGTATACATATATCAAGAACTGTCATTCAGTGAGTAATATCAACCTAGTGTTTAAATAATTTTCAAGATGAATCATAATGGATTGCTTTTGTATTTGTTATTTGACATGTGAAAAGTGTATTCTTTCTCCTTCATATTAAAGTAGATTTTTTTAACATTGTTAAATG